AAAGCAAGTCTTATACACCTCAAATATATGAAAAATTCAGTCATTTGCTTACATAAAAGTCATGTTTTACTCCTGAAAAGAATGGGGGGAAATGAACAGATGCTGACATTCAGAATTACTTGGATCCTCAGATATTTAATGACAGAATGACAAACAATCTAGTTTTTCTCCTTCCTGTGAGCTGGGTTTGCAATAGAAAAAAAATACACCCAAATTTTAATTAACTAACTTATTCTGCATGGGAATTAAGAGACCTAGGTGTAATTTTGTCTGTATGGAAGGTACAGCACTTATTCTACAGGTAACTCCCTTATTCTCAAGATTTTTTAGTGGAAATGGTCTTCCTTTTTAGAATTCTATCGAGAGAGAGACTGAGCTCCAAGCCGCAAATGAGTATTTTTAAGACATGAAGCACACCAATAAAGATATCGCAATCATGTTGGCAGACAATCAAAATACATCTCATTTTATATACTGTCCTAGTTTTGCAATTGAGAAATTAAAGCACAGAAAGCTGAAGAAAGTTGTTTAAGATGGAGCAGTTAAAACAGCAGGGAGCAGATTTCCTTCCAATTTTCTGCTTCAGATTCAAAGCTTATCCTACCTCCTATAAAGACAAATAAAAAAAACTCCGCTGACTACTAAGTCCACAGCCCTGTACCATCAGTGGTTTAAAGTTCTGAGGAATCATCATCTTAAAGACAAAGAAATCCTTGGACAAAGTCCAGTCACCTTTCTCATGCCACTTTACAGATTAGGTGCTACCCTGTTCAGATCACATTTGACCTTGAGGGACTTTTAAGCAGAAAAGTGAAAACAACAGACGGCATGGACGATACTGAGTGCTGCCAAGATGTCCCAGGGTGAAGTCTACCCAACCACACATTCAGGCAAGTTAAATCACAAAAACATATACTCAACTCCAGCTCATTAGAAGGTTTTTAAATCTCCTGGGGGGAAAAAAAAAATACAAACAATTATGCACAAAACTTCCTGAAAACTATGGACTATGCGGCCTGCTGTAATGGTTTGGCTGTGCACAGGCAAAGCACAGATGAACTTTTAACTACTTGATACCTGTCTAACACATTTAGAATAGGAAATCAAAACATTAAAGCCACCCTGGTAACAGCTAAACCCCTTTAAGTATGGAGCAAGTCAAAGATATTGGTCCGCAGTGACAAGTGAGGCCACCAGCAGCTCACACTGACCGTTGCAGTTAGAAATCAATAGGAAGCACAACTGCTCCTTGAGGGGAAGACATCCACAAGCACCCAGCACTGTGCAGACGGGTGGGCCTGAGGCAGAAATGCTACTTGTAAGAGCCAGACCACCAGCCAAGACTCAAACACCTCAGCAGCTGGAACAGGAGTCCTCTGATCAGCACCATGAACTCAGAGGAACAACTGGAGCCACGTGAGCAGATGACTGTGGGTGGAGGCAAGATAAATCAATTTAAGATTCTATGCCACTCAGCACTGTGCTTCTGCTCTTGTGCCTACCTCATTACTCAATTACCTCTGCAATACAGAAAACAGAATCAAACAGCTTAGCTATTTTCCACAGATCAAGGAAGGGATCACATCAACTGGCTGTTCTATAGTCAAGAGAGGTCCAGCACTTGACCTCTCTCCAAGGTTTGTATTCTACTAAACTATACACTTTGTAACTTTCCCCTCATACACAGCAAAGGAACCAAGGTTTTGTCCATTGTTGAAAAAAGAACAGAGACTTTGCCATTAACTGCTAAAAACATTCCCTTCTACGGAAGGCACAAAATGCTTCTGTAATTAAGGATACTATCTGAGCAATATCAGCCTGCCTCAAGCATTTTAGATTTTCCTAGCGATATCAGAGTTAGAAATCACATATTTCTAATATTTCAAATATTTCTAATTTACTCTGGAAATACAAAGTTTGTTTCTTTTTTAAAAAGGAAAATAAGGGACACATTGCTCAAGTTAAGCTAATAAATAATGCCAAACTACAACTCTGGTGACTGATAAGGTTGAAGTTTTACATTAAAAGCAGACTCCTCCTAATATTTTTAGGGACTTCTGTCCCTCCTAAAACTGCAAGATCTAGAACCAACTGGTGCTTATGGGCACAGAATGGCAAAGTCCTGCCTCTGGCACACTAAAAGTCACCAACTCTACAACGCTATCCTCCAATTTTAACCCATCAAGCCTAGGATCGGGGACAAAGACTATTAACAGAGTAGTAATTCTGCTTTCAATTAGTGAAACGTGCCACCATAGTTTAGGTATTTCCATTATCACAATTACTTTACGAATTCTGAGAATTCAATACAGTGTTGATGTTATTTTGTCTTTACTTATCTCTAATTGATAAATATACTAAGTGAACTCAGAGTATATTTGTATCCACAGATTTTCTTGGTTCTTCAGAAAAAGCTTTAGTTCCTTTTTTACATGTCACGGTATTGAGACAACATTTGGCATTTCTGTATTAGAATTCTCTGTTCCTCTACTAGTGGTTACAGAGCCCTCATAAAGAAGAATCAGATGGAAGTGTGGTTAAAAAAAAAATTCCTGCTCACATTAATCGGTTCTAATCAATACTGGGTTTGAAATTAAAATACCTGAATTGCAGGTTCAGTAAAGGGGTCAGCTGATATATGTCAATCACGGCTGTAATTCACTCTTTGTTAACTTCCTCACATATTAATGAAATCTAAACCAGGTTAGCTCATTTCTTGATTTAAGAATATTTTGTGTTTAAGACCTTTTTTTTAAAAAAATGCTTCACAACTCCTCAGATTACTTGCAACAGGAAGGATGTGAAAGCTTGACAAGATGCACGGAAAACGCTAATACACAGCTCCTGTCTGCTGGTACGCAATGAAAGAAGCATTATCATTCCTTTACTGCTATAATCTCACTACATGAGCGCAGAAGAAAATGAGGACTGACTTTTCTCCCACTTTTAGGATTTACCTCTCAATAGCTTCTTTACTGACTCTGTCTTTCTAGTCCACGCTTAGTTTCAACAAAAAAAAGCTTCTGCAGCTCTAGAGTAAGTGGCTCCCACTTTTATGAATCCTTGCACATATTTTATAGTTCATAAAAACCTTAGCAGGTAAAGCATCCTGTAAGTCATCTTTGCACAACAGACTGAAATAAGCGCTTCTTGTAAGTTTCACTCCTTCCCAAAGAGTCCTTTTCAAACCAGTTTTACTAGGCAGAAAGTGAGAGGCTGGGAATGTGTCGGAGTCTATCCTTCCTGCCTGCACTCCTCCATCCCAAAGAGCAAGTAATCACAGGAGGTATGATTTCGGTGGTGTTGGTACGCAGGGCTAACCTACCAGCTGAGGTTTAGGGCTTTTAATCAGTTCTTCCAAGAATCAATATCTGTATCAAGGTACTAAGAAGCATATTCATCAAGTTAGGGTAACACCAGCGTTTCAGCCTCTGCATGAAATTTCTTCCGCTAGGAAATACATTTTCTGACAATGTTACTGGTTCCTTTCACAGTAACAAGTTTCTTCCCTCACAATACTTGAGTTTTTAGAAAGCAATTCACACTCCAGAACTCACAGGTTTAGTCATGGATGAGCGCCAGTAAACAGGTTTTGTCAAGTCATCATTACCCAAACTGCAACATCATGTTGCTCAAAATTACAGGTGAGTAAGCTGTAAGCAGGTGCATATTGATCTCTTCCTCCAGCCCATATCCTTACTTTTAGGTCACTTTCTATTCTCATGTATTCTACCAATATGAGTGTAATTAGCAGCACCACACATCCACACTTCATTCTTCATTTAAATCAACTATCACCTTTTTAAAACCAAAATGTATGGAGTTAAGGGTAGTTTTAAATGCGGCATTAAGAGCATTACATGGTCATTACTGTTATTCATACTCTGAGTTAGAAGATCTTGGGAGTTCATAACAGATATCATTATAGATACCATACAAGCTACTTCACTTTAGCCTCTTTCTTAAAACCTCAGATTTGATACCAAAGTACTAATTATTCAACTTTTAGAAGACAACCCTCTTAAGGCAATTAACCTTACACACAGAGTAGTGATGCTACAGAAGGAAATAAAAAAGGTCTACTTGCAGACTAATATAAGCAGCAAATGAAAAGATGAGATTTACCTGCAGCTTAAAGAGGATTAAGTCAATTTTTTCTAGGAAAATGGCCTAAGCCTTCCCCAAAAAGGTCAGAGTTCAGTCAATTTAGGACAACAGAGAACTCAATTCATTTTCTTCTGCTGAAAAGTAAGGTTGGGGCAATAGCAGTGTGGATTAAAGAATTTACAGGGCATCTTCTTTTAAAAATAAAAGTTTAAACACATATGTTGTTACATGGCTTCGATAGTACCATATGGCTATGGTACCATATGGCTATGAACATATGGGTAGTTCACTTTTTAGTGAACAAAAAGAAGCAGGGTTACTGGTGCTTTATTCCACAAATTCATTCTGCTTATCTCAGTCACTTGGAAACTATTAGTGAGATACAATTCCTGTACCTTTTAGCATCCCCACTAGAAACCATCTTTTGGCAACATAATAGCAGATAAGTACAGTATTACAAAGTTGATCTCAAGAACAAGACAAAAAAAACCCCAAAAACCCACCACCCCAAAACACCCCACCAAGCAACATAGAATTTTTCAGTCCCAGAGGGTACAACAGAACAAGGAAACAGAGCTCAGCCCAGGTTGCTCTTCAGATTTGCAGTCAGCTGCTGTGAACTGTCAGCACACTAGTAACCCACTACAAAAGGTATATATAAATTTAAGATAATGGGGACTGAGCAGACTTAGCTCACATCATTAACACAACCTGAACTGACACGAAGAACAGCCAGAATAGCCAGGCCAGCCACCAACAGAAAACAGCTTTTTTTTTTTTCCTCCCCTCCTGCATACCTGGTTCCCACCAGACTTCTGAATGGTTCCAGCAGCTGAATCAAAATGTCACTTGCATGAGGTGCAATAAATCCACTTCAGAATATAAAAGGATACAGCCTTAGTGCTCCAGTCTGAGTCCCGATGGCCAATATTTTCTGAACAGGATCAAATGCCAAGGCTGAAGGTTGATAGGGGAAACCATGGCGTACAGTCTAACAAGTCAGAGCGTCGCAGTAATGATGGGTCAAGCAGCAGACCAAAAATAAACAGAATCAATATTGTATGTTAGGGAACAGGATTCAGTGTTAACAACAATTACGAAAGGAACTACACAGTATTTTAACAACAGACTGAGAAAATCAGATGTCTTACATGAACGAATTATAAAAGATTTTCTAGTCATAATTACTCATTCATCCCTGATCATCAAGTGACAGTCATATTTACTGAAACTTAATGTGAATCTTACATTTATTCTGTAAAAAGACTGTATCAACTCAGCACTTTATTTTTTCACCTACCTCATTTTCCAAGTAAACTTATTTTCAGCTCTAACAAAAGCACTAAACTATTAAAGTCTGAGCTGTTCCTAGGAAGTTTGGCAACGAAGCCAGACTTGTCATTAGAGCTACTACAAATTACTAGACCTGCTTTTCTAAGAATCACTTCAATTTCCATCAAACAGGCCCCACAGGACAGTGCAACCTCTCTCAGCACATTAAGAAAAAAGCAACCTAAGCTTCACAGAATTAATCTCTCACCCTCTGCTTCCCCAAAACAGAAAAAAACAGCCCCCCAAACAGACAAAACCACACACCCACCCACAAATAAGAACACCCTCAACCACAGGATTTTTTTTCTTAATATGAAGCTACTGGCACATTTAGCTTTTTGGTTAGCCAACACTAATTTGGTAATTGACCAAGAATAACGCCATTACACTTCTCAGGCTGCAATTAATCAGACTTGAGAGCATAATAAAAGCGTCACCTACGCTTATTTCCGTTATAAACATATACAACATAGGCCACACAAACGCTAGCCTTTCCATTTCAAAACCTTCAGTTTGAAGTAGAGTTACTTTAGGACCTCATAAACACATAGCAAACTTCTGATATACCCCTTTTACTTCACTGAAGTTGCAGGCATACCCTGCAACTCTCAGTATTTCACAGTGAATAAAATCTAACTGGTAACAGCTCTGGTCCTTTGTGAACAACTTGCAAAAGTGACAGAAACGCCTGCAACACTAGATAAAACAAGGAGGAGAATCCACAAACAAGCTCATCCATATCAAGCTAGGCCACGAGTACATTGTAAAGATAAAAACGGCTATTGATATTCAAATCACTTTTTATTCCTCTTGGTACAGCTGGTGGATTAATTCGCTGCATCATTTTCTGAAGTGTGCAGACACAAACCGCAGTTATCGTATCACGCACAAGCAAATAAAAAAAATAGGAACTTTTCTCCTGTCTCTAGAGAACATTTGCAACAGCAGCATCAGCAACTTGGCAACACGCTGCAGTGAAACCACCACAAACGTCTACAGCCTCTCTCAGGCGCAGAGGCACAGGATAAATGCATTTCCAAATAATGCAGAGCGACAGATCCTCCGTCCTTCGGGCCCATTAGCAGAGGCTTCTACTCAAATGCCGCGATAATCAGATCTGCACTACAGCAAGGTATCACTCCTGCCCCCATCCTTCCCACTCGCTCGACGAAGCCTTCATGAACATGGTCAATATCACACGCATGAAAGAGCCTAGAAAACGACAGACCCTGAAACTCTCCAGGAAAGACGGCTACGGAAATCCAACGAGATCCGCACAGCTACACCCACCTCTTCCTTCCCTTCTCCCCCTCTTCTCTCCACCCCCCCCCCTCCTCCTCCTCCCAAATAATAAATCCAAACAAGTAAACAGGAGCGGCGGGCGGGCTCGGCACCGAGAAGCAAAGCCCGCAGAGCCCATCGCGACGCTGCGCCCCCTTCCCCGGCCGCCAGCCGGCTCCGGGCTGCAGCATTCGTTCACCTTGCAGAGCTGGAAGTGCTCGGACTGGAGCGTCTCCTGGATTTCGGTCTCCCGGTTCCCCGCCTGCTGCTGCTGGGCGGCGGACGACGCCGAGGCGACGGCGGAGACCGCCGTCAGGCCGTCCAGCACCTTCCTGATGTTAAATTTCCTCATCGTCTTCGGCGGCGGCGCTCCCCGTTCCCCCGGCCTCGCCGCCGCCGCGCTGTCACCGCCGCTCCG